GGTCGTGGAATTTTTAAGGGCGGAAAAATTCAGGGAACAAGTCCTCCGGGAGGGACCTTAAGCCGTGGGTCCCGTGTCGTAGCTTTACGGCACGTAAAAGAACCTCATGTCTCTAGGAGACCTCTGAGCCAAATTGAAGGACATTTCCCGCCCAACAATAGTCTCTAACGCCTCTGGTAGATGGGGGAAGCATGTAGATACCGCTGAGCCAGTAGAGGCCGAACTCGCTGGCTGAGTCGGGACTGATGGCACGCACCAGTACCGGTAGGGTATAGAGACTGGTAGAATATCACAGGGGGACGTACAATATATCAAACTGGTCGCGGTGCATGGGGAAACCCACCCCCTCCAATAATAATAATAATAATAATAATACTCTATCTATCTATCTACCTATCTATCTATCTGTCTATCTACCTATGTACAGTCCTTTTGTTGGACCTTGGCCGCCTTTTCAGTTTCTTGATCCATGCACAGTGGGTAGGACTCCTTGAACGGGAGATCAGCCCGTCGCAAGGCCTCTAACTACGTAGAGAACAACACAAAGACAGAATAAATTAACAGAGATATCCATGCCTTGAGTGGGATTCGAACCCACGATCCCAGTGTTCGAGCGAGCGAACACCGTTCATGCCTTATACAGCGCGACCACTGCGATCGGCACATGATCTGACCTGAATCGTTCGATATAGCTGAATCCGGTTGTAGTGTATATGACAACAGTTAACACACTCTGCTGTGCAGGGGTTTTCTTCGCATGCACTTCCACCTGGCTGAACAAGAAATGTCTTACTATTGTAACATCCGATATTTTATTATGGAGATTAGTAAAGCTCGTCGCCTTACTCCTATACTGGAGGACCATTGCTTGTCGGCCGTCCGTGACCGTTTTCCAAATATATTCGCATCTACCCGCCATATCTGGAGGCCATCTCCATCCGCAACCTGAGAACCCGCTATGCAGTGGTGATAAGGAACCCATTTAACATGGACCCAACATTCCATTAGTTTGAAAGAAATAAAAGGAGGCTAATGAGATCACCATGCTGTCTGAGTGCCTGTGCAGTGCACACGCAGTGGTCGACTTGGTAGCAGAACTCGAATTCAAATTCCAGCCTAGAGATCGTCTGTTCTGACTGAAGTATTTCGTGGTTGTCCTCAGTCCCACAAGAAAACGTTAGGATATTACCTCAAATTGAGCTATGAGGCTTCCCTCTATACGCTTTTCTATTATCGTGCTGTCATTTGACGTTATCAACTTCGGGATGTTAAAAGTGTTGTTTAAGTAAACCTAATATACGTTGACCTCTTTTCTGACTAAAATTATTTTCGCATTTTCCTTCTTCCCACGTATGCTGGATGTCTCGCCCTCTTATTCTCTTAGATATAGTCTCCTTTTTCTTTAGAATGGCTCGTCCAGCCCATTCAGGACCCTGGCCTTTTATTCAGTTCCGTAATCATTGTACACAGACGGTAGGGCTCCTTGGACGAGTGATCAGCCCGTCGCAAGGCCGCTACATACACACAGGGAAACACAGAATAAACACACATAGAAATCCATGCATTGAATGGGATTCGAATCCACGACCCCAACGTCAGAGAGAGCGAAGGCAGTTCATGCCTTAGAGCGCGCGGCTACTGTGGTCGGCTTTTCATCACTTTAGCAATATTTATTATTAGATACTTGTTTTGAAGCCTGTTAATTCTGCTCCCGTTTCATTCCTCGAAATTATTCTATTTAACTCAGATTCAAGGCTAAGCTACATGAATTCATAATTACCTTTCCATTTCAATTTTATGGTGTGTTTTTCAGTGGAAATATCAATCTGAATAGATGAAGCTCTCTTACTGAACATCATTATGTCTGTCGTTAAACTCACTTTTATAACTCTGTTGATTGGTTCTTTAACCTGAAAAAATGTAAAAAAAAAAAAAAAAAGTGAAGCTGTCCCTCTAACAGGCCGTGGAGGCCCATAGGATTGTGAGATGTTAAAGTTCTAGACAATCGGCTCATAGATGACGGAAAGGTTGTCAGCCTTACGCGCTGGCCGTCCTTTACCCTCAAGAACATTCCATGAATATTCCTGGTACTTATTTCTGTTAGAGGCTGAGTCGAACCCAGGACCATAGTGCGGCTTGAAGGATTAGGTAAGTTGAAAAAATCCAGTGACCTCATCGGGATTCGATCCCGCAACCTCCCGGCCTCAACCAACTACGCTATCGCGTGCCCCTATCTAATCTGATATGTGACCTAAATCTATTCTTACCTGCTCTATGTGTTGCCAGTTTTCAGGTATCTTTCTAGACCTCTTCTTGTGTTCATCTCGTTTCTTGCCTCGTCCTCTCCTCCTCTTGTTCCCTCCTTTCGACTTCTTATGTGACGTGAGGGTTCCTCCAGATGGCAGTGGTATCGTGTTTCCATCATCCTTCGCACTAGCGGTACTCCCGTTTCTCCTGCCTTGCAGGAGCCTCCCGGGGGAAGTTCTAGGCACACTTTTGGTTGGATGAATATCTCCTGGCAACTCATTATCCAGTATTGACCTTACCACTCGCCGGTGTGACGAATTTCCTAAGGCTAATTCCACTTCATTTGTTTTGGCAACGTATGACTTCTTTATTTCTTTGGAATTTGGTTTGTTACCGCCGAATTTATCTTCAGTGCTGTGCAGTTTTGATTTTACGTAGAGCCTTCTTCTCCTGAAGATAATCTTTCTCTGTTCGTCTGATGGACCCTTCTTCGTGTCTACTGGACGATTTCCAACTTCTGCTGAATTTCTCTTTTCATAAAAATTTGAATTATTTTCTTTCAGTGCTTTGGACTTGTGCTTATGCCTGAAACTTTTGTCTGTCTCCTTGTTTTTGTAGATGTTTTCTGACGATTCTAGATAGAAATCGTCGTCTTTTGTCTTATTATTAATATTAATGTGTGGCGTTGGATGTTTGGGCACTGATACTATCCATCGCAAAAAATCTCCGCCAGCATTCTGCAACATTTCTGCCATTGCGTGTGTATGTGGACGGGATATCTGCAAATGCATTTCTCCATCATCATCCATGAGACCATTATCTGGACTGTCTTCTGAAAACACCACAAGAAACGCTGGAGAAGCTACGTTGCTTTTCGTGACGATATCTTCAGGATCACGAAGAAAGTGCTCTGGTGAAATTGGCTTTCCTTTTGGTGCTTCAAAGCGTACCCCTAGCATCAGTTCCACGGCTGGGCCTTGAGCGTTGAGAAGCAGTTCTCGCAGGACGGGGGTGATATCTAGGGCATGCCAACCTCCTCTAGAGACTTGAGGAACAGGGATGGAAGCAAGAGGCATGGTCCGAGCTCTCGGGGGTCTTCCGGGAGGTGTCGAAGGTGTCGAAGGCGACCGACCAGGTGCATGCCTCGCTAGGAGTATCTGATAGAGGCGTACTCTAAATGGAGGTGCAAGAACACGGCGACTGTGGTGATTTTTATGGTGATGACGAGGTAGACGACGACGGTGAAGATGCAGCTGTGCCAGGTGGACTTCTTCTGTTTGATCGATGCATGTCACATTGAAGATCAGCAGATCTGAAGACAAACTGGAACCTTTATGTTGTTGCTTCTGATGATGACCTAAGGGAAATAAGAGAAAAGATGCGTAGGTAAATGAGGTAATTTATAAAATGAATTTCTACCCTAACGCCCACTTTGGTAACCACGCACCAAGCCATCTCACGTTTAGTCTCAAAACAGTATTCGAAATATGAGGAGAATGGAAACAACTTTTGAGTGTAGAGTGTAAATGCGCGCGCGCGTGTGTGTGCGTGTGTGTGTGTGTGTGTGTATGTATAGCCGCTTGTTATGGTTCAGACGCATCACAAAGGTTGCCGCCAAATGGGCGCCACAAATATTTCATTGGTAGAAAGTTGCTTTTTGGTGTTAGTAAGTTGACGGAGGGAGAAAACGAGGTATGAGTGAGAATTCCGATTTCATGAATCATCTGTTTCTGTTCGGTTGTGGGTCAACATCTCTCTGGAAATTTCCTAGCTTCTAATCTCAGAATAACTGAATAACCACTTGGGTTTAGAGTGAAGGTAAAATCAAGAATATAAGATACATATATGAGATTTATTAAGTGACAAAATATCAAATGAAGAAAATTAGAGAAATACCGAAAACTGAGATCATAATTAAAGATGTATCAGTAAATTCAGGAACATCACGTAAGTGACTAAAAGAATTAGCATGTAGATGAAGATAAGGAAACCTAGCGACCTCTGAAACTGTTTATAATATATATATATATATATATATATTCAAATCGAACATAAAATTTCTTCTCTGTGGCTACACGTAACGGCAGTGGTTATGGTGTGATCAAGCTCTCCTACGGTTAGCGACAGCAACGAACTCTGTATTGTAGGTAATACAACCTGTAGAAACATTGTTTAATACGGGCCAAATATTAAATTGTTAGGCAAAAGAAATATAAGAGAATACACGTATTTTAAAAATATTTATAATTAAATTATGTGTGAATTATGTTTTTCTGCATTTAACAGTACCAGTATCGTAATGGCTCCAACTTTTGGCACTTCTTTGGCAAAAGAAAACATATCATGTGTATTAAGAAGGCAGTCTTCTGGGATTTGGCACCGTGTATAAGTGGTGTTAACCGACGTTTCGGAGGAACGTATCGCCTCCATCTTCAGGGTAGNATGTGTATTAATTACATATTGACAGTTCTTCGAACTCAAGTCAAAGTCACATTGCGACTGACGGTCAGTAATTATTGGTATCGAGCCTCATCTGGAGCTCATGACCGGATATTAATTGTTACTGTCTGACAGTTACGACATTGTTTCTGTGGGGCGCCCTCTCTGACGAGAGGACGGGTCTGTCTTCTGTATACGCTGCTGGTCCTTGCCAGCGCAGTCTTTCTCGGGTCCGAGTCCCTTGGTACTCACGACCATATTTTACTGTCTCAGATTTGAGACTTCCCTTTCCGTCGCCTCCTACGACCCGCAGGTCACTGCATTCATTAAGTTCATACTTAAAATTATTTAAATTATAGAATACTTTGTGGGATTTGAGATTCTCCCAGTGATGGTTATAGAGACTTCTGTTTTCTGGAATATGAGGTCATGTAGTTCAGTGAAAGTCAATCGATGTTTCAGAGAAATATATCGTTTCCATCTTCAGGGTTGAAGAGTTAGCCAAGCAATAATCCAGAGCAGAGGTCGATACATCCCTCTGAAACGTTGGTTGACTTTCACTGGACTGTCCACCATTATATTGCAGAAGACAGACGCCTGCAAAATACATTGTGCCTCTCACAGCGAAAATGGAATCAGTACACATGCGGTATTATGTAAGTCTACTTGCAGGGCGAAGTTTAATTTTCACCACGTGTTCCAACTTCATAACACTAGTAGGCTATATAAGTAACTCTTCAGTCTTAACTTCACAGTAACAGGCTTTAATGAAGAATTTACTCAGTATTCCTCTTCTGCCATTTCCTCAACTTTCTCATATATATACTTCACATATACAGTTTTCAGATCACTCGAATTTCCCACTGTTAACCTCTCTGTCTTTAGGCTGTGAAAATAATAGTTACCAACACAAAGAAGTTGGTCAGGAAGTTAATGGCCAGCACAAAAATCATAAGCTTAAAACTTTAAACATGGTATTCTAGCGCTAGCAAACTTACTCTAACACTCCTTGTACATATTTAATGTGCAAACTAAAGATAACTACACAAACATACTCGTCCACCAAATACATAGTTTAACACCCCTATGAATATTCAAATGATTTTCTGTTTGCTGAAGTAAAAGAACATCCAACGAACAACAGACGATTTCTGGATTCGAACGTGAACCACTCTCAGGTAAGTAGATTTCATATAGACACACTGTCATTCAGGAATTACTTAAAAATTCTTCACCTGTGTCTCAACACTGCACTTAGGTTAACTCTCCGCAAGAAACCCCAATTCGTAGGATCTTCATAAAAATGTTGATAATTACACTTTATCAAGAAACGTCCTGCTGCTTTTACGAACACGTAGAACTATTCATAGAATCTCGATATTCGATCATACCCTGACCCACTTGAGTCCAGTGTGCCCATTCAGCCATCCTTACCCCAGATCTTTCAATCTACTGCTAGGTCAAACAAGTAATATCTTGAAGAAAGCAGTCTTCTGGGATTTGGCACCGTGTATATGTGGTGTTAACCGACGTTTCGGAGGAACGTATCGCCTCCATTTTCTTATATTTTTTCTTCTACCCTGAAGATGGAGGCGATACGTTCCTCCGAAACGTCGGTTAACACCACATATACACGGTGCCAAATCCCAGAAGACTGCTTTCTTCATAGTCACCGCCGTGAAAGCCTCAAATCTTACAAGTAATATCTTCCCTTGCAGTTTACTGTCAAAATATCACCCATTTTACATCGATAAATATTCTGCCCACGATAAGATATTTCTTTTAATCACTTTACCAATACCTATCTATCTATCTATCTATCTATCTATCTATCTATCTATCTATCTATCAATGGCTCTACAGTCATTTTGTTGAAAATTGACGACTTTTTCAGTTTCTTAAACCTATACACAGTCGGTAGGACTTCTTGGACGGGGGATGAGCCCGTCGCAAGGCCGCTACCTACACAGAACAAAAGCAAATACAGAATAAACGTACGCAGACAGCCATGCCATGAGTGAGATTTGAACCCAAGATCTCAGCGTTCGAGTGGGCGAAGATATTTCATGCCACTATGATCGACTTAAATATGCTGGTGGAGTGGGACTAAGTCCTTTGTACTGTGGTCACTTCTGGCCTATTGTACCAACCCAGATGATAGGTGAGGGTGATTGTGGAGCAGTTGGTGGAATGAAGATTGGCAGGGGAAACCGAAGTACTCGGAGAAAACCTGCCCCAGCGCCACTTTGTACACCAAGAATCCCACATGACCAGACCCGGGATCGAACCCGCGCCGCCACGGTGGAAAGCCAGCGGCTATCCGCTTGAGCTATGGCGCGGCCCAATCGACTTAGATAAGTTAAAGGTTAAGCAGGTAACGTTATCAGTTTGCGTAATTAATTAATCACCATGCTATGAAGATGCGCGTTGGGTGCATGTATGTCTCCGCCTTTCTTAAACTCGCTGCTTGATGGAGGTCTTTCCGCTATAACCACTAAGAAAACAGGTCCATTTTATAGGAGGCTTTGGATCCCAGAGCCATCTGGACGCTGTGGGGAAGTGAAAACCCCACTGCACCTTCCACGTGTCATCCATTATTACCTCTTGAGGAGAGTGATAGCCCTAACCACGCAGGTCATTTTCATATTCTTAGTGTTTGAGTTGAGGTAGCTTCATCTCTGACCTGACAGTAGGTTGATAACGGTGAAAATAAGTTACAGATTAAAATGACAAATATTTGTGATATCATCGCCATCATCTGCATGGATTGAACTTGTTAGCCCATTTTGTCTTCAGACATGAAGAATCCTCTAAGTAACTTTTTTGGGGCCGTGCTATATTTCAGGCGGTCAGTCGCCGGCTTCTCACGGCGGCCCGGGTTCGAGCCCAGGTCAGATCGTGTGGGATTTGTGGAGGACGAAGTGACATTGGGGCAGGCTTTCTGCGAGTACTTTGGTTTCCCCTGCCAATTCTCAATCCACGGACTGCTATACACTTATAATCATAATCTATTATCAGGGGCTGGTATAATAGGCCACACAGTGGACGACGTACCAAGTGAACTCAGTCTCACCACACCCTATTTTTTTTATTGCTAGTGGGGTAGGACTAAGTCCCTTGTACTGCGGCCACTTCTGGCCTATTGTACCAGCCCCAGATGATAGGTGAGAGTGTTTGTGGAGCAATTGGTGGAGTGAAGATTGGCAGGGGAAACCGAAGTACTCGGACACACCACCCTAAGAAACTAAAAAAAAAATATATTTTTTACTTGAGCAGGTTACCAGTCTCTTGCAAAACCTCCTATTTCTGAGTACCAGCTCTCTTATTCGGGTTTTCCTTCGTTTAGACAGATTGTCTACCACAGCTATCAAAATTTGTCTACTCGCGACGTTTCCCTGGGAAGGAGCCCTTGCCTGGTTCTCCCCCGGGTGGCCAGTGGGACCTGGAAATCGAGTAATTATATTGTGACATGTAAATTATATAAACATGATTTTATATTCGTGCATATAATCCGATTTGCATAAGAAACTATCGGTACAAAACACCAACCAACTAACTCCAAGGAGATGAGTTCTTGAGAAGCCGCTCAAGAACTTCCCAGCATTTTATGGAACCCGAAGGTTCATTAACGTGTTCACAAGAGCCCTCCACTGGTCCCTATCCTGAGCCAGATGAATTCAGTCCATCCCAAACCATACTATCTGTCTTAAGATTCACATGCTGTACAAATTACATATTTACAGAAGCACCAAGTCGTTATCCGCGAGCGTTACAAGCAGTGATCAGCATCAAGGTTCCCAAGCAAGACGGAGTAGCACGTGTCAGTCTTTGTCTCCTATTTAAACACCATTTAGATGCATAATACTAAAGAGTGAGGATTTCTGACTCGCGTCGCCTGGCCTACTGATGAGTAAAACATGAAAGACCTACAGAACAAGCTCCCTGCCACTGCTGGGTGGTTCGTCCTAATGAATAAGGTGTTTCGTAGACAGATCTAAATTACATGATCCAGCAGGAAGATATACAACATAACAGCTATCTTGAAGCAGAGTAGGAATTTCCTTAACACAGATTCTATT